CTTATAAATATCTTGGAAAATTTTGCAAGGAAGATACGTTTTTCCGAGAATTAAGCATGTTATGAGGCACATTGAGAATTATAAATTACTGCCAATAATCTCTCAGATAGACAAACCTTCCAGAAATAAATATTGGCCATGCTAGGAAACAGAAAGAACATTTTATCATGTGAGGGAGACATGCTAGAAAAACTTCAAAAGTACTGAATAAGACATATATAATACAATACAGAAAATTTTGGAATTTAAATTTGAAATGAAACAGCCATTTTTACTAAGTGTAAACCCAGAATATTTGAATAAGAAATATAATAATTTTCTAAGAATAAGTTTTGGAAGAAAGACGCAATTCTGATGATATCTAATTGGGATTTTAAGCTTGAAGAATGTGTAGCAACGGAAAAATTAACTGTTAAGTATTCATAACAGAAGTTTAACCAAATTCAAGCCAGAGTGGTTCCCATATATACAATATTTTATGTAGCTTCTCAAATATAAACACCTACCATATGGTTTCTAAGAGGGTCTAAATTCTTGCAAACATTGCAAATTGATTGAGTAACAAAGGAAAAGTTAGAAACCAAATAGCTTTTTAACTTTTTTCTCCTAATATGCATAAACAACAATGGGTATAATACAATGGAGACCTTAATATTAAATATTAAGCTTGATAGAAACCTTCATTATATAATCATCAATAGCTTAATGCATTTTGCAGTTGTTTACCAGTGCAACTCTCAGCTTCATGCAACATCATGCTTCTTTGAACATTATCACTTTTGAAATCGTGGTTAATGTTGTCATAAACTTGTTTCTTTACCTTTAAAAGTAAAAATTATCTAAATCATCAGAGTATTAATAATTATAATACTATTCTGCCAAATAGTATAATGTACTAATTGTGATATATAATAATACAATAAAACAATAGTTTAAAAAAGAATTAATGTTAAATTGTATCTCTTCCTTTATCTCCCAACTGGGAGTAGAGGTTACCCATCTCAGATTATTCTTTCCTACCACAGCAGAAAGTTCTATGCCTCCCATCTCTCTGAAGTTAGGGTTTAATGTTAGTTTTAAATCATGAAGACAGATGGGTGAATATAATATTGGAAACTCATAAACTCCCATTGGCCCTTGGCCTCTTAATACCAATTTAACACCAATTACTGTACCAGTAATGACAATCATTATATGAATATAATACCTTTACAATTCCCATTATGAAAGAAATAGATTTTGTATTGAACAATAAACCTCAGGTTGAGTGGCAATCATCATTTTACCTTTATTTCTGCATTCTGCTGCTGTTTTTGGCAGGCCTTGGGGGAAAACGTATGGCAAAGAAATAATGCTGTGGCTGGAAAGCTTGGTTGGTATTTTTTAAAAGTGAACAAAAAGCTCATACAATTGCAGGGATGGCAGCCCATGGCCTTCCAGAGGTTTAACCTCTGAATGGACCCAATGGATTGATAACAACTATTGCTTTATGTTGCAGATCATTTTGATTTTGTTTTGGGATTTACACTTTTCCTTCCTAGATGACATGGTCCTTTTTGTTTGCTTACATTCTTGTTCTAAGGTTTGGCTTAGCAATCTGAATGATACTGATTAGGGTTTGTTTTTTTTAACATCTTAAAATCCTGACTTGCTGTCTCAAGTCAGGCCAAATAACTAAATGGTCCTCAAGGATTCTCCTTAATTAACAAAGATATCATTTGTAATAGCTGATCGATTGAATTATTAACCTAGTAGTGCTGATTTAATAATTTTTTTCCTAATTGATTTAATTTATTTTATTAATTTATTCATTTAATTGATACTAGAATAGCCTTGATGACTCCTTGAATTATCTTTTCAGAGATATTTCTTCAATGCCTTCAACAGTGACAGAATTTCTAATGTACTGTACTGCATTCACAGGAAAAGCTGAGATATATTCAAAGATAGACCCACCTTGAAAATAGCCCATGTTGAACTACATGGCACAATCAAACATCAGGAAATATTTTATGACATTATTGTGTCAGAAACTGTTTTAAACATTTTATATCATAAAATGTTTTATAAAATTTGCCAAATTTCTATTTCATGAGAATCATTGGCCCCAGATTTTGGATACATTCCATAAGTTAGCTTATATGAGGTATCTTGGTTCAAAAGGTTTTGCCTTATGGTATTCCTTATGGTATTCCTTCAGTTAAAGGAATCAGAGTTTTATTAGTATATAGATTCTGAACCTGTAATCATCTACAGATCAATGCTTAGATCAGTGGTGGCGAACCTATGGCACGGGTGCCAGAGGCGGCACTCAGAGCACTTTCTGTGGGCACACGCGCCATCACCCTAGTCCTAGGCCTTCATCTGGGTTTTATAAAACCTTTTTGCTTTAGGCCGCCGTGTGCAAAAAAAAAAAAAAGGTTCAATCAGTCAATTTCAACTTCTCGCAGGAAAAAAAAAGATCTTGCAAGTTGGAGTTGATTGATTGAACTTTTTAGTCCCACCCAGTCTGCTGTTACCACTGTGACAACACCCAGCCAATGGGCCACACCCACCCAATTGGCCACATTCAGCCAATGGGCCACACCCATCCGGCACCCGACAAGGCATAAGTGGGTTTTGGGTTGCATTTTGGGCATTCGGTCTCTAAAAGGTTCGCCACCACTGGCTTAGATTATCATCAGTTGAAGCTTTAGTTTCATCTGAGTTTGTAAAGCAGTGGTTCTCAACCTTTTTAATGCCGCGATCCCCAACTGGTGGTAAGTCGAGGACTACTCAACCGGTCGTAAGTCGAGGACTACTCAACTGGCACAGCACCATTTGCAGAATGGGACTTTTGGCAGGCTCAGCAGGGCAGAGACAGCCTGGACAATTCCTATTGGCTTTTGAAAGCCAATAGAATAAAAGGGAGTAGCACAGCTAAGGAAAAGGGGAAAAAAATGGCGGACTGCGTTGTTTGACGACCCCATGAAATGATCATTCGACCCCAAATGGGGTCCCGACCCACAGGTTGAGAACCACTGTTGTAAAGGAACCAAAAATAGTTTGGATTTTCAGAACAGCTGTTGTCCTAATCTGTTGCTTTAGTATTTTTAAACGTGACTAATTCATTGTGATACAAGCTTTCCAAAGCAAAGTGTGAATAATTTAAATCTGCATTCCCCCCCCCCCATTCCAGATAACTGGTCCTTAACATTTTAATAAGAGGCAGGTGGAAAAGCACTACAGTAAATCTTGCGTTACTATGGTAATTGTGACCAGAATTTTGTTGCTAAGTGATGTGGTTGTAAAGTTGACATCAAGTGACAGCATTGCTTAGTGACAGAAATTCTGGTCCCTATGGTTACCATTAAGTGAGAATTGCAATCATTAAGTGAAGACCTCCTTACAACTTCCTGCTGGCTTTGAACAAACAAATTCTTTAGGAAAGCCAGCAGGGATTCACAAGTCCCAGGTGGCTTGCAAGTAAGCTGGAAGGCAGGTAAATGGCTGTGACTGGGTTGGGAGGGCGCACAAGTAGCCTGTGTGGTACAAGTGCTCAGAGACTGGGGTGGCTGCTGCCAGGCAGGGGAGTGTGAATGAGAGTGAGTGAGTGGCTGGCACAAGTGTAAACCTGGCTGGAGTTGCATAAGGATGCACCGATGTCTGTTGAGGGGTAGCGCAAGTATGTCAGGGCCAGAAAAGATTGCTACTGGATAGGGGAGAGTGTGCAGCTGGCTTCAGGGAGTATCAGGGATGTAGGGTGTTTTCAGAGATTTTCAAAGGTAGAATCAAGAAAGAAAATACCAGTACTGTATGAGACATAGAGGTGTATGAGCTGTAACTGCAGTTTCATTTTAGGCAATGCTAACAGGCAATAAAATTGTTTTTCTCAAGGTGATAGAAATTTTGAAATATTATTCTCACTATTATGGGGTCAGAAAGGAAGCTTCAGCTTTATCCTTTGCTTGCTTATTTGGAATAAAAGTACAAAGCCAATGGATATTACGCTTATTTAAGCATCATGTGCATTGCATGTTTTCCATTTGATTTTAAGATTGCATAGGAATTTAGGGTATTGTTGAAAATGAAATTTTTGCTTTCCTTTTCCATTGCCTCATGCTGACTTTGGGTAGCGAGATTTTTAATGAGAATTTTTGTTAAGTCTTGGGGGAAAAAATTGAGAAAGATTCTTGTAATTAAATTAGTTTGTTTTCTTTGTTTGTTTGTTTTTTGTTGTTGCAGTCCCTAACACTTTAAAGGAGATATGGAAAAGAATGCCCCAAAGTGTTTAAAATATTTTTTAAAACCATACCTTTTACAGATGCTCATTCTGAATTAAATACTAAATTGCTTTTCTCTTTGGGGTCATTTGATACTTGATCTTTGACAATGTTTTTACATATGAATGATATATTGCATAATTGGATCCCCCAAATGATGATGATGATAATGTTGGAAGGGACCTTGGAAGTCATCTAGTCCAACTCCCTGCTCAGGCAAGAAACCCTATACCATTTCAGACAAATGGCCGTCCAGTCTCTTCTTAAAAACTTCCAGTGTTGGAGCATTCACCACTTCTGCAGGCAGGTTGTTCCACTGGCTAATTGTTCTAACTATCAGGAAGTTTCTCCTTAGTTCTAGGTTGCTTCTCTCCTTGATTAGTTTCCATCCGTTGCTTCTTGTCCTGCCTTCAGGCGCTTTGGAGAATAGCTTGGCTCCTTCTTCTTTGTGGCAGCCCATGAGATATTGGAACACTGCTATCATGTCCCCCCTCATCCTTCTCTTCGTTAAACTAGACATACCCAATTCCAGCAACCGTTTGTTGTATGTTTTAGCCTCCAATCCCCTAATCATCTTTGTTGTTCTTCTCTATACTCTTTGTACATCTTTTTTACATCGTGGTGACCAAAGATCTCCACTGTTCTTCGCTTTAGTCTAAATATGCTGTCAGCAGAATCGGAATCAGAATCATATCAGTGATAGGAGCATTAATTTGTTTTTAAATAACCCATTTTTAGGTCTAGCCTAATGGCAGGTGGGGTCAGAAGAGAAGTAACAAACCCATGGCTTGTGGAGGAGCCTGAGGAAACAAGAGGGCTTGACTTTCATGATATCCGGCAGCAACAACAGAGAATTATTGAAGGTAAATCCTTCCTTTCTTGTTTTATCTTGTCAACTTTTATATTAGTTTTGTAGCTGATCACAGCCTAGATCAGCGATGGCGAACCTTTTAGGGACCGAGTGCCCAAACTGCAACCCAAAACCACTTATGTATCGCCCGGTGCTGGGAGGGCACGGCCCACTGGGTGGGCGTGGCTACAGTGGTCATGGCAAATGGGTGGGCGTGCCCAGCTTGATGTTGCTCCTGGGGAGGAATGCCTGTGGGGGCCGGGCAAGGTTGGGGAGATTCAGGGGGTCTTTGGTGGGTGGGGCGGTGGGCAGGAGGCTCGTCCTGCGGGGTGAGTTGAGGCAAGGCAAGGCAGGGCAGGGGTGCCATTGTCACAGGGCAAGGTGAGACAGGGGCCGGAGCGGCTGCTTCCTGACACCATTGGCCCTCGCACACAGAGACCAGCGAGCGCATGGGTGCTGAGATGCATCTGGCCATGTGGGATCTCGGTGAGTTAGCGGGCAGCTGGTTGAAGAGGACAGTTGCCATCTCTGGGGCATGGTGCGCGTGCCCACAGAGAGGGCTCTGAGTGCCACCTCTGGCACGCGTGCCATAGGTTCGCCACCACTGGCCTAGATTCAAAAATCTTCCATTTTGTATTTTTGGGGAGGAGGTGTCTTTAAATCGTCCTTAAAATAGGTATCACATTTTTGCAGTATTTTGTTTTGCCAAGAGTTATCTAAGATGTTTGAATCCTTGGATAGATATTTATTTTGCTGTTAGCATAGTTTCTTTCTTTATGTTCATCCTTTTTATGTTTGCAAATAATTTTTGTGAGCTGCTAAAAAGAAGGTATCAGCCTGGAATTCCTTAAGCAAACTCAGGTTATTGAATGCCACAATTTTTTTCCCCCTGATTCTTCTACATCTCTGGGGAAGTAATCATCTGTGCCTCTGTTTATTGGCATGTTGTTTATGGAAATGGTTAACTATTTGCTTATATCAATTTCAGGAAGGAAAAACTCATTCTAATCAATATATGATTGAAATCAATATAGTAGTTATATTGTCATGTCCTTAATCCCCATAATTTTTTCTCCATGCCCTTTTCTGATGCTTTTGTACTGCTGTTGTTCCCTAGATTCATTAAAAAAAAAAAAAAGTAGGTGCGCTTATAGTTTGTGGTCTGGGACTTTTGCTCCCAGACATAATCTCCATTCTATCATTTGGTGGTGGTCTATTGCCTGTGGTTTTACAGTCCCCAAACCAGCTTTCTTCTTAAATATTTTTTGCTATTCCAGAACCTTCCTGAACATTTTGTGGATGTGTAGTTTATTGGGAAGCTTTTTTTGCATGCTAGCAAAAAATAGTTAGGGCTAGCATAGAATTCTTCCTACAGCAATTAACTACATTGGTAACATCTTTAATTTCTGAACAGTTTGAACTGTTGTAACATTTTTCTTACTGTTTGCCTTTTTCCTATAAAAGTCTTTTTTCCCTTTCTGCAAATAATGTTCACAGTAGCTAGTGAATAATCTTTTGGAAAAATCATCAACTCTGTCCAAGACTCTAATCCTCGAGTTACAACAATTCATTTAGTGACCGTTCAAAGTTACAATGGCACTGAAAAAAGTGACTAGATGCCCTCCAAGGTCCCTTCCAACTTTATCATTATTATTATTATTAACATGACCATTTTTCACACTTACAACTGTTGCAGCATTCCCATGGTCACATGGTCAAAATTCAGATGCTTGGCAAACTGGTTCATATTTATGACGGTTGCAATGTCCTGGGATCATGTGATCAGCTTTTACGACCTGACAAGCCAAGTCAATGGGGAAGCCAGATTCACTTAACAACCATGTTACTAACAAATGCAATAATGCACTTAACAACTGTGGCCAAAAAAGTTGTGAAATGGGGCAAAACTCACTTCACAAATGTTTCACTTAACAATATAAATTTTGGATTCAGTTGTGGTCATAACATGAGGACTACCTGTAATTTAGTTTATTTAGGACAGAGGTGGGGAACGATGGTTCCCTTTATGTCTTGTGGAATTCAACTTCCAGAATTCCTGAGCCAGTTTGGCTGGCTCAGGAATTCTGGGAGTTGAAGTCCATAAGTCATAAAAGGGTCATTGTTTCCCACCCCTGATTTAGGAAGTAAGGATGCGGTTATGCCATGTGTTCCAGATTACAGTTGGAAGTAGGGAGATTGCAGCTATGGCAATGCTCTCTCCCCCAAATGTTGGATTAACCCCACAATGAAAGATACATTAGCACACAGTTTGAAAAAGATATTTAGATTCATGGTGTTTGCTTCATCTGCTTGGAGCCTTGGTGCTGCAGCGGTTAGAATGCAGTATTGCAGACTAACTCTGTTCACTGCCAGGCTCAAGATTCATTTAGCCTTCCATCTTTCCGAAGTTGGTAAAACGAGGACCCAAATTGTTGGGGGAAATATGCTGACATTTGTAAACTGCTCAGAGTGCTGTAAATCATTATGGAGTGTTATATAAGTCTAAGGGCTATTGCTGGTTTTTTTCTCAGTCATGTTAAACTTTTCTTGGAAAATCAGAAAAGCTTAATGAGTAAACTGTGTGAGTATGCCAGACAATCCAATGCTTTCGTAATGGAGAAGTAACTAATCATCCAGTTTCTTAAGTATTTGGGATCCTTGACTAAACATACTTGTTGAGAAATTGCTCACTACTGTCCACATTCATTGTAAATTCATATTGAGGCAATATTTATTAGGCCAATTGATAAAATCCAACTTTCCAATTTCAAACCCTAAGACCAGCTTTTTCTTTAGCCAAGATGGCTAAAAATCCAGAAAATAGATGGAACAACAGTTATGCATATGTGAAAATTCCATGATTTTCTACTATTTTTTGGGGGGGATTTTTGAGAAATCCCTTGAGCCGAGGTGGCGCAGCAGTTAGAGTGCAGTACTGCAGGCCACTTTAGCTGACTGTGTTCAGCAGGTCAGCGGTTCAAATCTCACCGGCTCAAGGTTGACTCAGCCTTCCATCCTTCCGGGGTAGGTAAAATGAGGACCCAGATTGTTGGGGGCAATGTAAATATATATATACATTGCTTACTGGTGTAAACCGCTTAGAGAGTGCTCGCACTTAAAGCGGTATATAAGTCTCATAAATAAATAAATAAATAAATTTTTAAATATTTTGCCTGATGGAAAGTTCTTAGAAATTCAAAGATCACAGTGATTACATAAGCCCTCATTTAAGCAAATAAAGGTACCAAAGAAATAAAGAAATGTTTAAATAATTGTTGCTTGATTTTTTTTTCTAGCAGTCAGCTTAAGTGCTGTATCTATTTGTTTTAGTATATTAAAATTTGACTTTTCAATTTATTATCCAGCCATTAGCAAGTTTTCTTTCAGTTTAAACGTACGTTTGGGCATTTCCTCAGCAATCTTTATGTATAAATCTCGGATTTATTAACTTGAATTTTATATTCATTGAGCTTGTTTTGCTTTTTTGTACAGAACAGGATGCTGGTCTTGATGCACTCTCTTCAATCTTATCTCGCCAAAAACAAATGGGACATGAAATTGGAAATGAATTAGAGGAACAGAATGGTAAGTACATGAGGCAAAAGAATTTTTAGAATTTGATGTATCTGTTAAATTCACTGTTATGTTTATAAAAAATGAAAACACTTTATTTTTATTTACCCAGTCTTTATTGTTTTTATAAATAACTCATTCTCATGAACATACCTAATACTCCTTCCTCCTCCTAATTTCCCCTCAAGAACAACCCTATGAGATGGGTTGGGCTGAGAGAGTGTGTGTATGTGTGTGTGTGACTGGTCCAAAGTCACCCAGCTGGCTTTCATGACTAAGGAGGGATTAGAATTCTGTTTCCTGCTTTGTAGCCTTAAGCACTAGACCAGGGGTAGGCAACCTTGGCTCTTTTATAACTTGTGGACTTCAATACCCAGAATTCCTGAACCAGCCATGCTGACTCAGGAATTCTGGGAGTTGAAGTCCACAAGTCATAAAAGAACCGAGGTTGTCTACCCCTGCGGCTAGACCAACTCCAGCTCTCTTAAGCACTGGCTGTCTTAAATACGTAACCATATTTTTCCAACCATGATTTGGGAAAGATCATATCAAAACTACAAGGAAATGCAATTTACAAAACAGAAGAAAAGCAGGTTCTTCAAAACTTTTGTTTCCTATCTCTCTTTTATTCACATCCCACAATTATAACAATCAAAGCTTACAGCAGTTAACATGCAAATTACAAGACACAAAAATAAAAAAACAATATATTTAAAAGCAGGTAAAATTTAAAATCCGTGTAATTAAATCAGTTCAGATAACAAAAATTTGGTGGAAGGGGTGAGGGTTTTTTTTACCATTTTACTGAATACTATGAGAGTGAGAGCTAAGCACATCTTGGAGAATGCAATCCAAGGTCTTGGAGCCATACAGAAGAAGATCCTCTCCTATGTTCCACATAAATTAACTTTTGGTAGTGGTGGGAGGGGGAATCTTTAACCTTCTTGTTGATCTAAGTAACTGGGCAGATTCATAATGGGCAAGGCAGATGGTCAGACCTGAACCATTTAGGGCTTTTAAGGTCAGCACCAGCACTTGCTTATTTCTTTGATTGATTGATTGAAAAAAAATATGTAGCTGCCCATCTCACAATACTGTGATTTTAGGTGGTGAACAAGAATTAAAAGGAAAACAGAAACATGAGATAAATAGCAAGTAGAAATAATAAACATATAATCATGGTCGAAAAATATTCCTCTTCTAGTCCAGGGACAGAACCAGACAAATCAGCCAATGTGTGCTTACTGAACTCCTTGACCCAAAAGCCTGGGAGAACAACCAGGATTTTAATGCTTTACAAAATGCCAATAGAGTCAAGGTCATCTGGATCTCCATGGGAATGCTGTTTTACAGAGGAGGTCCCCAAATTACACTCCATAATACAAAGGACTTGGAGCATGTCCACTCTGCCAATCCTAATGGGCCATATATACGTAATCACAAAAAGGTGGTCCTACATATGGTATAATGTGGCCCTGTGCCATGTAAGGCTTACAGGTTTCAACAGGTATCATTTAACTGATGCCTGATAAACGCCTGGAAACTAATAAAAATCTTTCCATAGAGGTCTTACAGAAGTTACAGCTAACTTCTGCCAGCTAACTGCTAAACAACTACATTTTGTACTAGTTGGCAATTTCTGAATCCTTCCAGGAACAACCCCACAGAATGAACAGTATAGTCCAGCGGTTCCCATTTGCAGTCGACCGACCATTTCACAGAGGTTGCCAAACAACGCAGTCTGCCATTTTTTCCCCCTTTTCCTTAGCTGTGCTACTCCCTTTTATTCTATTGGCTTTTGAAAGCCAATAGAATAGACTCTCTTGAATAGAGTCTAATTCTATTGGCTTTCAAAAGCCAATAGGAATTGTCCAGGCTGTCTCTGCCCTGCTGAGCCCGCCAAAAGTCCCATTATGCAAACGGTGCTGCAAGTTGTCTGCAGCGAAGGCGAGCTGTCTGGAAGTTTCCACCCCTCCCTGCTGAGCAACTACTAAAAATGTAAGTAAAAGAGGGCCAGGGGTGGGAGGTGGGAAACCGGCGGGTGCAGGGAGGGTTGCTGGCGCATGTGGGGCCCGGCGGGTGCCTTACGTCCCTTGGGCTGGGCCAGCTGGTGGCCCAGCGCCATCGCTGCCCCTTGTCAGCTATGCCTCAGCCGGCGCAGGGGGCGGCACCACACATGTGCGGCACTCCTGGGCAGGGAAAGTCCTTGACTTACGACCGGTTGGGTAGTCCTTGACTTACAACCAGTTGGGTAGTCCTCGACTTACGACCGGTTGGGGTCGCGGCATTATAAAGGTTGAGAATCACTGGTATAGTCTTATGCAATAGGCACAGCAGAATATAACCAAGGCATACTGTAGATCATTGCCACTTATGAGTTCTTGCTTCTTGCCTCAGCTATCCTTGTCTGGGAAGACTTCATCTCAATCTTCAAGTACAGCTGTTTCCTTACCTGAAACACTTTATATTTTGTCAGGATTTAATTTCAGCTTGTTTGGTTTATTTCATTTTGTTTATTACTGAGTTAGGATTGCTAATTATTTTCTTGGGGTTAGATGGTGGGAAGGAGTAACCAGAGTATCATCAGCATTATGATAGTGACCCATTCCAACACTTTGAATACCTCACTCACCAATTTCATCTATATCTTAAAACCCAGAAGACAAAATTGAACCCTATGGGATGTGATGGATCTGCAGCCAATGTATTGAACTGTAGCTCCACAGCACCACCTTCTGGGTATACTTCATCAGAAAAGATCAGAACCACTGCAAAATAGTGCCCCTAAGTCCCAACTCAGCCAGATAGATAAGAAGGATACTATATATGTACGTACGTGTGTGTGTGTGTGTGTATACTATATACTATACATTATACTATATACTATACACTATATACTATATATGTATGTATTTCATTTGGCATAATAGAATACAACATTAGTGCATACAAATTCACAAAAACAGCATATAAAATGTACATCAAAATATAAACACCAGAAACTAACAGTATTGTTAACAGGCAAGGCAGGGAATTCCTCATGCCCATTCATAAAACTACTGCAAAAGTTAGAACAGTCACCATTCTAACATTAACAATGAGTTTTCCATCATCAGCTCCATCTGAACAGAGTAAGAACATGCTTGAGTGTAGTCTGATGTAATCTGGATACATTTTAGTTACAAGAGTTCCTTTGGCCTACTGTATTTGAAAAGTAATCTGGAGGTCATCAAGGAAAGAGCTAAAAATTGTTGCAACATGAAAACAATATCCAGTGCTTTTCCTGATGATTGCCTTTTCATTTCCAAATATTGTAAATATTCCAAAGTAAATATTTACAGCAGTGATGCATTTAGTGTATTTGGTATCTTTATAGAAAGACATGTTTCATTTTTAGTATATTTTATTTATTAAGTGGGTAATGCTGATTTGAGTACCTTAATAGGACAGGGAGTAATTTGCATTTTAATTATTCCTTTGTAAACCACTAGATGGTAGCAGAAGACAACAAAGCCTTTCCTTAGAATGTCTCACCAGACTTAGGGCTGAGCTTCTGCAAAGGAGGAATGTTTTATTTTTGCTTCTCTTACAGAGCAAAATAACAAAAAACACCAAAAGAAAAGAAAAGAAAAAGGTTTCTTCTATCTTTCAGCTTCTTTCTCTCTCCTTCCCTTGCTCTCGTTTGTCTGGAATTTTTTTTTTTAATTTTTATTATTTTAGACCAACAAAACAAAACAAAACACATCAAACATTGCACATATACACACGTAATATATCCTTTTTTGTTAACAGGAGTTTGTAACAGTGCTCTTCTATTCTTTAAATTTCCCCTCTCTTTCTTTTTTGAAATATTTGTCCTTATTGCCCCATTGTTTCTTATTTACATTTTCCTTCTTTCATATTCAACTACTTACTAGGAATCCAATATTATTCATTGTAGTAACACTCATATTTTTTATAATACTCGACCGGAATTCCATCTAAGCATGGTGATCATACAAATATTCTCATATTATTTAATACATATACTGTTTCTACTCTAATACTATTTCCAACATTAAAATTCACCCCTTTTCATCCAAGTGTATTTATTTAATTTTATTTTTCTTTGACATATATAATAATTCCTCCTTTCTTGTTTTATGCTAATATTGTGTATAATGTTTCTAAATTTTACTTTCTCTAGTAATTTTCTATAATCCTATTTTATGTAAACTTCCTAAAAATACATCACATCTACATCCAATTTCCTTAAATTGTTAAACATCTAAACTTTTCTTGATATTATAGAAAAGAGCTTAATTACGTCTCCCATTTTTAACTTGACCTATTTTTTTGTTTTTATTTTGTTTTGTACTCCTTGTCTCTATAAGTCTTCCTTTAGCTTCTCTTTCTAACCTTTCTCTTTCTTGTAACTTTTGTATTTCTCGCTCTCGATCTACTTCCTCTAATAGATCTTCATCATAACTTTTACTCTCCAGCTCTTTCCTGGAAATTTGTTTTATCCCTTCCCAGCACATTTATTCACTATATGACACGTATTTTAGCTTTGAGGATTTTCTTACTGTGGTCTGCAAATATGTATAGGTTTTTCTTTTTAGTTTCAATGATTTCTTACATGATCTCTGACTACTATTATCTTATATAAGACTAGGAAAGCTTTGTATCCTATTAAGAAGCAACTTGTTTCTTAGCTGCCATGCCTGCAGGCTTACGTTTCAGAACTTAGGAGAAGGAAGGGGAGTAGATGCTTGTGGTCCTGCAGAATTTCTCACATGAGGCTAGTAAACAGGGTCTGCAGGACTTATGGAGTCAAGTATCCCCCACACTTGCAGGCAAAAAAAAAAAAAGAATCAGAAACATGATAGTCCTCCATTTTCAGGGAGGGGTTGGCAATTTATGAATTCACACTCTTTAAGAATAATGCTAGAACTTACAGGGTGTGGTATGTTTGTGTAAGACTTCAGCTTGTTTCTATTATCTCCTGAAGCAAAATGTTCATTAGGAGCTTT